AAGATATGACATGTCATTCCTTGTATGTTAAAGGAGTTATCACATTGCACTTTGATAAATGTCTACTCAAGAAATCTATGGTCACGGTAGGAGTGCATCAATAGAGCATAATTAGTTTACTCTAAGAGCTAAGACATTTGAGAATCGAAGAAAACTTGTGTGATCATAATCAAACGGGACTTATAACTTAGTTCGAGATTACACTATGATAACTTGACATGAGGACTGAATTGTATGGTAATTATGCTCGATGAAAGATAATAATGAATTAACTAATCCTCTTAGAGAGTTAGGTAGCCATGATGCCTTGTTAGAGGCCAATCTTAATTTATGTATCAAGAGATAAAAGAGGAGTCTTTTGCTCTTGATATATTGTCAACATATCTAATAGTCTATTGAGTCACACGCATAAGTTTAAATATTCACATTATAAATGAGAAGCAAAGATATTGGAAAACTTTTTCAATTATGAAAGTTTCCTATTTTGAAAATGGTCTCGAAAATGAAAAGTTTCCTTAAATGGGAAGTTTCCTATTTTAGAAATCGAGTTTTCTAATTTGGAAGTAAATAACCTAAAATGAAAATGCGTTTCCTAATTTAGGTTAAAGGGTATTTTGAAAAATTATTTTCTAATGTGGACCCACCTAAAATAATCTAAGATTATTTATTTGGATAGCCCAAATAAATTAATTGGGCTAAAATGGTTTTGACCCATTAGGTTTAATTAAAAATCCCGAAGATATTTTAGTGGGAGAATAAACAACAACTTTATTGGATAAGGTTAAATGTTTTAAAATGTCCACATGCAAAAATATCTCCTCATCCTCGGAGGATAAGGAAGCAACAACCTAGAGTTCTTTAGGGAATCATTGTTGCTTCTCTCCTTATCCTTGGAGGACAAGGAAACTCTCTTATAAATATATAGGAGATAGAGAGGTGCAGCAATACAAAGAAAATTAGGGAGAGAGAGTTTTAATCAAAACAAGAAAGAAAAGAGAGAAAGAAAAATTTCGGCCAACCCTAAAATAAACATAGGTCACATGGCCAAGAGAGAAAAAAATTGGAGAAAATAGTTTTCTCCAAAAACACTTGCAAGCCAAACTCTTTCCTTCTCTTTTAAGGTTGTCGCAAAAATTGCCCGAGATTGATTTCTATAGGAAACACTAAACCGGAAAAGGTGGAGCTAGCACCCTATTGATTGTGAGTACTTCTTCATGGATATTTGGATTGCATGGATCATCAATAGAAGTCGGACACTTAGACGGCTTTTCTAAAAAGAAATTTAGATCCGCTCTACAAGAGGTAATCCTTGTTCCTTGCTTTAAATTCATATGTATGTATGGTTAGTAGATTCAACGGCTTAATCTTGGGCCCTTAGATGAAGGAAAATTTTTTATCTATTTTGCACCTCTATAGGATGTATGATCCTTCCGTCGTGACTCATGAGGAGAGTGTTAAGTCGTTGGTTGAATGGTTGGTATAAAATTTTTAATTTTCTTATATATTAAAAAAAAACTTCGGTTTTTTGTTTAAACCGATTGCAAAAGTTTTAAAACCAAACCGAACACCAAAAATTAAAATAATTTCATTAGGTTTTTAAAAATAAAAAATAAAAACAAACCAAAATAGCAATTTCGGTTCGGTTTGGTTATTCGCTTTTTACCAAATTTTGCTCACTCCTACTCTAGTCGGATGGTTCGAAGGATGCAAATAGAATGAAGATTTGGTATTAACTATGAATGTGAACATATTTGCAATAGACATCAAACCATCTTGATCACTCGTTTAGAGAATCGATTGCCATGATTGTAAAAAAAAAAAAAATAGAAACCATGCTTTGATGCCATGAAAAGAAGTGAGAAATCCACTCTATGGTTATTACTAAGAAAACGGAATAAGACTTATATAGGTATTTTGATTAACTAGGTCAACTATGTTCTATAATAAAACTATGAAATATGGAAATGTCCATACATATAAAGATTATGTTTAATACAAAGTATTCAATAATAATAACAAAATATTCTACAATAATGACAAGATATTTTGTATTAATAATTGAATAATTTCTATTATTAAAGGCAATCATAATAACATGAAAAGCGTGGTCTCCTCTCAAATTATGACAATGCCCCTCCAAAAGTCTATAAATAGACTACTCCATCACTATCAAGGATAGGCTTTCATTATACAAGATGATAGAAAGCTAAATGCTCTCTAGATATTCCCTTCTCTTTTAGATCCATAGAAAGCTCATGTGTTGAGCAACTACCAAATCACCTACGATACCAAAGCTTGTAACTCCCTCTATTATAAAAGTGTATACAATTTTTATGTAAGTATTTTGTATCAATACAATTCATTTTCACTAATCTTTATTGCTCTACATTTACATTAAACTTTTATTTATATTAATATGTGGCTAGCTCGTTGTGCATATGTTTTAATTTTGTTGTTTTACATTTACATTTACATTAGCCAACTGTTTAATTTATTTACGTTACTTTAATTGTGGTCAGCTCTACCATACATTTTATGTTTTAATTATATTTTTTTATTATACTTCATTTTATTTATATTTTATTTCAATTGTCAACTTATCATTCACAATTTTCATTCGTTGTTCTTAATAATTTATAATATACAATCCTTACCCATATCTAATGTGTGTGTGTGTGTGTGTGTGATATCAATTTATTTATTATGAGAGAGAGAGAGAGAGAGAGAGAGAGAGAGAGAACAATCATATTCTAAAATTTTATTCCAAAATTCATATATAGAGAAAAATAAATAAAATTTATTGGTAAATAAAATTTTATAAAAAAAAATAAAATGAGAATTTTCATAATAAATGACAAATTGAAAGAGTAAATTTTAACTAAAAAGCGATAAAATTTGAAATATATATTTATTTTAAAATATGAAAAAAAATATTATATACATTTCATAGTCATTAATTTTGTAGGAAACACAAAAAATAACATTCAAGCTTCCATAAATTTAGCTTCAAAATCCTTAATAAAGAAAAAAGATAAAATAATATATATTTTAAAATATGAAAAAAAAATATTATATACATTTCATAGTCATTAATTTTGTAGGAAACACAAAAAATAACATTCAAGCTTCCATAAATTTAGCTTCAAAATCCTTAATAAAGAAAAAAGATAAAATATTGAGAGAAAAAAAAACAATTAACATGCATGCTAGCCTTAAAAAAATGAAATGAAAATGGACGACACGTTCACTCTCTACAAAGCTAATGCTAGGTCATCCAACTACACACTCCAGCCAACTTTGGTTCTCCAAAATTTTGTTGGGTTTGTAGCTTTTGATCTCCCCAATCTAAATCCAACATCATTTTTCCTCAAATACCCATCAAAGTCACATAAATAAAGTCAACAAACTCGTTTAAAGTCTTAAAACTCATTGTAATACACATAAAAATTCAAATCAAACTCGAGCTCTAAAATATTTTAAAATTTTGATCTATATTTTCTAATAATTTTATAGTTTTTAACCACCACAAATACTCTCTTCTCCAAGAACCAATTGAAGGTAATTTTAACTATCAAAGTGGTCAAAATAGATCTCACATCCCTCTCTTCTACCTTTTGTACCACCAATAAAGTTCAAAATCAAAAAAAAAATTCTCTAAAAAAATGAGATCAAAGTGCAAAATTATGAATAAATAAACTCATATACAAATGTCTCAAAAGTACCATAAAATCACAAAAATACCACCAAATAGTATGGTTCTCCAAGCACAATAAAAGAAAAAGTGATGCTACATTGTTTATGCATTCTCATATAGTTTTATTAGTAATAGTAATTAAAGTTATTACACTCACTCATTATCCTTATATAATATGCTAATTTTTTAATCTAATATATCCTTTTGATTAAAATTTCTAGCCAATTCATTAAAAATTAAACATGTAATTTATATATTGTATGTGATTTAATAAAATTATTTTTGTTATTTTACACAAATAATCTATATTTATTAATATGAAGATTAATTTATAATGAATTGATTGAAAATTTTAACCAGAAGAATAAATTAAAAACCAACACAAATAAAAAAGACAGATTGGAGACGTTTCAAAATGTGAAGACATTGAAAAATTAATATTATATAAAGATAAATGAGGATATTAACCCTAATAATTAATAATAATAATAATTGAGCCATACACCAAATAACCAAAAAAATCCTCATATACAATTGAAAAGGACCCCATATTTTGCCGTAGAAATTCAAATGCCATTGATCATAAGTCGAGAAGCTGAGTCTGAAAATTTTAAGTTCCTCTTAAAACAAAATACCACTTACATGTATAATGAACATCACAAAAACGATGAAAAAGATATCTAGGGAGAGTGGATAAATTCCACAGCTTCTGATACTTCCAGCCCAAGGCCAGTCAATTTCTTTGAATCTGCAACAAAATAAAGCACAGATCAGCTTGTGCTAATCCTATTTCTAAAATGTGGGAAGACAAATGTTCTGATTCAAAAAGAAGAAATGCCATGCGTGAATGATACCACCCAGATCAGTCTAGCAATACTCAAGAAGAATAAAAAATGTCAATAGAAAAGTAGTTACAATTACATACATCATGCACGGAAAGAATAGATCACAAATGTTTTGAGTATACGAGGGCACTGAAACCAGGAATGATAAAGCCATCAGTACTTGGACCAGAAACTGTAAGATGACAATCTTCTGAACTCTGGAAAACAAACTATTCTAGACTGAAAATAAAATAGCCATTCATTATCTCATTTCAGGGACACACTTAAGAACAACTCGACAGTTTTCAAAACCCATATTGTCCTTTATGCTCTCTAATCTCTACGTTAGAATTTAGAAAATTTCATCAATGTCAATGGAATAATAGCAACCCATGTTGTCCAATACTCAGGCGAGAGTTTGATTTTTGAATAATAGCAACCTGACCATGCTTCCGATGCTCCTCTTTCTTAAATGATATGCCTCATCGAGTGCCCTTGTCATCATCCTTCTTGTCCCTGTCATCCTTGGTACTTGTTTGAGGAGTGTACTGGCTGGTAGACGATGGCGAATAACCAGGTGCACTTGGTGAGTACCCTGCACTTGGACTGCATGGGATAAACAAAGCAGCAGAATTTTCATCAGGTTGCTTTATTTAGATCAAATACAGGCTCAATACATTGTCTTAAATTGGATAGTGGACTGGAATACCTGTACTGTGGAGAACTTGGGCTGTAGTCTGGGCTGACACCAGAATTATATGGACTGGGGAAAACGAATTGACCATGATTAGAATGCACTGTGATTAACTTGGTTGACATCAGAATTATATGGACATGGGAAAACAAATTGAATATGATTCGAATGCACTGTGCTTAACCAGGTTGACACTGGAATTATTTGGACAGGGGAAAACATGGAAATGATTAGAATGCACTGTGATTAAGGTTATGGTAAGAATGACAAACCAGCCAACATCAGTAGCAGCAGAGAAAGTGAAGGCAAACTAAGAGTTACCTGCTAGGACTGTAGGTTGGACTTGAAGGGGAATACGATGGAGATGTTGGCGAATAAGAGGGTGATGTTGGGCTGCAACAAAAAGGATAAAAACAGCTAAAGATTCAGCAGCAGCATGATACTAATAATTCACCACACTCAAATGCAATAACAAGTGGGAGAACAAGCTACTGGTAAATTGTCATGTGCCAACCTATAATTTGGAGATGTTGGACTGTAAGGACTGGCAGGTGACAGTCTAGGACTACTAGGTGAGTAAGCCAGTGATGGGCTGTATTTTGCAGATTGGGGATTGTAACTTGGCGAGGTTGGACTGTAGCTTGGCAAGGTTGGGCTGTAGCTTGGTGAGGTTGGGCTGTAGCCAGGGGAGGTTGGGCTGTAGGCTGGAGAGGTAGGGCTGTAGGAGGGGGAGGTGGGGCTGTAGGAGGGGGAGGTGGGGCTGTAGGAAGGGGAGGTAGGGCTGTATGAGGGTGAGGTGGGGCTGTATGCAGGTGAGGTGGGGCTGTATGCTGGTGAAGTGGGGCTGTAGCTGGGGGATGTGGGGCTGTAGCTCGGAGAAGTGGGGCTATAGCTCGGGGATGTGGGGCTGTAGCTTGGTGAAGTGGGGGAGTATGATGGACTTGTAGGAGAATAGGCAGGACTCGTTGGGCTATAACTAGGAGAACTGGGACTATAAGTGGGCGAAGTTGGGCTGTAATTGGGAGAAGCAGGGCTATAATTTGGAGAAGCAGGGCTGTATGAAGGTGAAGTAGGACTGTATCCAGGACTGTATACTGGAGATGATGGGCTGTAGCCTGGAGATGTTGAAGCAGGAGATAAACCAGGAGAAAAGGCCATTCCTCCAACATACGGTGAAAAGGCCACTCCATCTAAAGTAGGCGACATGCGAAGATTTGGACTCGGCATGGGAGACATCATGCTGTCATGATAAGGAGTCCCAGACACTGGCGAACGACCAGGTGTCATGCCAAAATCAAGGCCCTCCATATAACTAGGGAGCTGGAGTTCAATAGCATTCTTCAACATCTCATCATTGAGGTAAAGAGAACAATCTCCAGTGCCAATTGGAGCGAGCTGACCCAGCATTATATTTTCAGTGACCCCCTCAAATAATCTGTTTCAGCATATACTGCAGCATCAAGGAGGATGTCCACAGTCTCTTCAAATGAACATCTCATCATTGGCCCAGTATCATTCCGATTGATACCATGACGAGTGATTGCCATCAAGTGACCACGGTAGGTCATTGTATCACACAGTATAGCCAGATGCCGGTAATTCACATAAGATCCATCAAAAGATATGACAACCCGCAATTCATCCAGCAGGGAACGACGAACAGCCTCAATTCCAAGAACTTCAATAACTTCAATCAAGTGATTGCTTGTTGTCTTTCGGGCATCAACATTTTCATTGCACATAACAGCCAGGAGATTGACACCCTCTGTATCTAGCATCCACTCCTCTGCAGTCTTAAATCCTTCGCTCTCATCAAACCTGCTTACCTTGGCATTTTTAATGAACACCTTGTTTATATCTGGGATGCCACGAAGAGCCATTTCAGTTAGCATGTTACTCTCAATCTTTTTCAGGAAAACATCATCTTCAGCCGATTCATCATTCAACTCCCCCTTTGGAGCTTCATCATTCATGATACGGATACGAAGAATCAGTTTCTCAGCATTGTCATCGTTAAAGATACACGTCAAATCATCATCAAACTCAGTATTGATCTTCTCAGCAATGTCGGCCATGTTTAGCTTCTTATCAATCATCATTTCACGGTTCAACTCTATGCGAAGCAACCAGGGAGAGATTTTCTCAGGTGCAACCTCTTCATCTGGCATTTCATAATACGACTTCACAAAGTCAGCGTCCTCTTCAATTATTGTACTCATTGGATCTGGGTCATACCACACTTCTGTAGCTTGTGTGACACTTCGGAGAGTGGTGTATTCCAAAGCACACTGAACATTTTTAGCCTTCTCCTTTGTCTTGTTAAAATCAGGCTTCAGGTAGACAGAAAGAGAAGGTGTTTTTATTTTTTAGCTACATTAATAATTTCCCTCAACCTAGGAACACCTAAAGTGACATTCTTTGCACTAACACCAGCATAATGGAAAGTATTGAGGGTCATTTGAGTGGCAGGCTCTCCAATGGATTGTGCAGCAACACAACCAATCATCTCACCCGGTGCCACTAATGATTGTAAGAATCGTGATTCTATCTCACCAATAACCCAATCAAATGCTTCACGACTGAGCCTATATTCCTGCAACACCCTTTTACTGGCCAATGTGCTGCGAAGCAAGATTCCAAAGAAGAGAGTGGCATTTTTTTGGGCTTCCACACTCAACGGATCATCACCAGGAACAACCTTAAGTCTCTCCTGAAGCTTATCAACAGCTTCTACAGCCTCCATTGGATGAATATCTGAAAGCTTTCCAATTCTTGTATCAATCTTGAAAGTCTTCTGTGCATTCCAAATAAGCCTCTTGAGGTTAACAGGCATTGGCCATGTATTATCACCGGTGGTCGCAATTTCTGTTCCAAGTTGGTATCTATCTGCTTCAAGTTTTTGAACTTCAGCATCAAACACATCACGCAATTCTCGGATATTTCTCAAATCCTCGACATGATCAGGCATCATGTAAGTAGGGTTCCAGTCTTCATCATCAAATTCATATCTGAATACCCTGTCAAATTCTGCTTTCTTCATTTTGAGAGAATCCAATTTTTGTGATTCTATCCAGACAGAATCCATACCATCTTCCCCATAGAGAAACTGAATAACGTCCCCCAATGAGTTCCTAACTGTACCATCATATTTAACCATAATATCCTCCATGGCCTTCACCAGTCGCCTCTGGATGTAGCCAGTCTCAGAAGTCTTCACTGCAGTATCAATGAGACCTTCCCTACCACCCATGGCATGAAAAAAGAACTCTTGTGGGGTTAACCCACGCAAGTATGAGTTCTCCACAAACCCACGACTTTCAGGACCATAGTCATCCTTGGTGAAGTGCGGCAGCGTCCGGTCAATGAAGCCATATGGTATACGCTTACCCTCAACATTTTGCTGTCCCACACAAGCAGTCATCTGTGATATGTTAATGAAACTCCCTTTTGATCCTGCAGTGACCATTGCCTTGAGATTGTTACTCTCAGATAAACTTTTTGGGCACTGCTTCCTGCATCATCACGAGCTTTGTTTAGCACCTGCAAGATGGCAATTATTATATTAAAAGTACACCAAAATGCAAACAAAAGAGAATGAGGAAAAAATCAATTTCACTCAGGCACCTGGTTCACTCTGTTTTCAAATGAATCCATCATAGTCCGTCCAGGTTCAGCCTCTAACTCCTTATTCTGGGCTTTCCTAATAAGATCTTTCACCTCATTTTTTGCATTTGAAATAGTCTCATTGATTTTTTCCATTGTTGATGCATCAGCAATAGTATCTCCAATTCCAATACTGAAAGCATTTTGCAAAAGCCAATAATTCACTAGCCACTGCGTATGCCCCAAAAATTTACGAGCTGCATCCGGCCCAACCTCTTCCCTGCATACGTGGACAGAAGACATGAAGCACCACACGATTTTCAAAATTCAGCTTTAAACAGGTGTTCAAATCAACATCTATTAGTAGATCATATGCATATATTCTACCAATAATGTTGAGTTTATTATCTTCAGTCATTCAGCATTCCACTTACCCATAGGTAAAACCTCACCTTATTTTTTATTCCCAAATTACCTTCAATTTTTTTTTAAAAAAAAAAAAAAGCACAGGAGTTCCTTGGGCAATCAAACAATAGCATCATTTCAAAATTTTACGAAGACACCTGAAAAGGCCATGCATGCCAAAAATTTTTGGATATTAACCAGATATTCAAAGGGACTAGTGCATACCAAATGCAATGTATAAGACTTCCAGTAGAAGTCCCGAGCGTTTTCTTGCAGAGGGTTCCAGAAATCACCTCCCCTTTTTCTATGCGGACTAATGTATCCCCTGGAGTGATGCTTCCTCTCTCTGAATCTGTATGCCAGGCAGCAGTTCTAATCAGATTAATCTGCTTGGGTATGATAAGGTTAAAAACTTGTTTCCCAGTCCAAAGTGGTCGTGGCTTCACAATCGTAGGAGCAGGAATTTTCCCATCAAAATCCTCCCACCACATCAAGATGTTCATGAAAACATCCTACAACATAATTATGGAGGTTAAGTTTGCTGGTTTAAGAGAAAACTACATCACTAACATAACCAGGGAACTGAAATATTATCTCTCACCTTCTCTATAAAGGTATCCCTCTTGGTGATTTTGCGGCATCCTAAAAGCGTATCCTGTACAATTCCCATTACAGGTCGGTTTGATTGAGGTGACACGATGCACTTTGGCACCATCATTAGCTCTAATACTTCTGCTCTAGTTTCAAATGATTGTGGGACATGCATATTCATTTCATCACCATCGAAATCAGCATTATATGGTGAAGTAACAGAAAGGTTCAGGCGGAAAGTTGAATATGGCATAATCTTGATTCTGTGCCCCATTATTGACATTTTATGGAGACTGGGTTGACGATTAAAGAGGACAAAGTCACCATCATTTAAATGCCGTTCCACCTGTAAGCATGATGTGAGAGTCTAATAGAGATGATTAAAAACAAAAACAGATTGAAAACCAGTCAAATATGAGACAGTGCCTTGTAACCAAGCTCCAGATGATGATCGCTACTTTTCTTCAAGTAACGAAGATCAAGTCTTTGTCCATCATCCCTTATGATGTATTTAGCACCAGTTTTGCCAGGTGGAGGATGTGGCCCATACTCAACAAGCTCCTTCAACCTGTTTTACGAAAAAAAAATCCTTGACCAAAATCCAACAAAAATTAAATAAAAAAAAAAAAGAATTTTGAGAAGATACAAACCTTTCAATGTTATAAGGAGTCACAGTTTCTGGATATGTGAGATTCAAAGCAATACTCCAAGGTACTCCTAATTCATCAATGTTAATGGTGGGATCTGGCGTAATAACTGTACGTGCAGAGAAGTCCACACGTTTCCCCATCAAATTACCCCTAATCCGGCCTTCCTTTGCCTTAAGCCTACTACATATAGATTTAATAGGTCTCCCTGATCTCTGAGTGGCCTGCACGGTAAAGAACATGTCAGCTGGTAAGTAAAACCTTGTAGATTCACTTAAAATTTATACATATACGTGTTTATGCCAATACCCGTGGCTGTCCAGGCAACTCATTGTCAAAATATGTAGCTACATGGAACTGCAACAACTGTGCAAACTCAGATATGATATGAGCAGGTGCCCCACTCCTCTCCTGTCTTCTCAGATTCTCATTGTGTCTAATGATCATTGCTAACTGATGAGTCAAATCATCCTGGATTCAGCAAAAATATAACATGAGAATCACCCTAGAACTCATAAGTTAAAATGTCATAGAAGATGCTAAAATAAATTATTTAATCGCAAGAAAGAAAAATGCATACATCCTAAAACAAATAAGATGACCTACTATCAGCCATTATTGGAAACAGAATTAACCAAAAAAAAAAAAAAAGAGGCTTGCCTCACTCCTGGAGGATGTATCCATCATCACAGAGGGCCTCACAGGAGGTGGCGGAATCGGAAGGACTTGAAGAATCATCCAATCAGGACGAGCATACTTAGGGTTCAAGCCCAGCAACTGACAATCCTCATCACTTATCCTCTTCAAAACACTCAGCACCTGCAGTATCAAATAAAGAACATTAGCATCATGCCCCAGCATAGATATGGTATGAGATCTCTGAATGCAGAAAAATTACCCTTTCAGCTGTAAGGGTTTGCTTTCTTTCCACAGGTTCAGGCAGCTGTTCCTGATCATCATTTTTCTTCCTTTGAGCCTTGTACTCTGCAATCATCTTCATACCTTCAATTGTCAGCTTTGGCTGCTGAGCACCACAGCCACCACGGCTCTTCTTAACTGGCTCTTCAGTATCTTGACTTTGAACATCAATTTCATCTCCACCTTCACATTTAGTTTTATTCTTGCAAGCATCCAAAATCTTTTTGAGCCTGTTTTTGGGATTCTTAATTCTCATGGCTTGCTTAAACTTGTGCTCTTCCTGCAAATAAACAATCAAACGAAAGATATAGAACAGTTACTAATACATAAACATCCTGGACCAAATCATACATGAGAACATTTTTTAAAAAACTTAACAAGTCAATTAACAAAGAAATCCAATCCCAGAATACCAAAGCCACTATCTGGAAAAAAAAAAAAAAAAAAAAACAATGCTTACATCCAGCTATAAGCAACACTCACTTTGGGGAGAACCCATACACATATCACATAACTGAACTTCATCTCTACCAACAGTACCCTAAGTACTTAGCATCCCTGATACTGAGAAAATCATAGCCAATCACATCAGACACAGTACACCTAACACTTAATGACTGTAACCTACTAAAGATCCCATCTCAATTACATAAACACCAGATAACATAACTGAACTTCATCTCTACCAACAGTACCCTAAGTACTTACCATCCCTAATACTGAAAATCATAGCCAACCACACCAGACATGGTACGCCTAAAACTTAATAAATGTAACCTACTAAAGATCCCATCCCAATTACATAAACACCAGAAACCAATCAACAACTTTGACAACCAAACAAAACATGAGAATTCAAAGACATAATGCATGATTTAGGCAATAAGAGGGGCTTCATGCACCTCATCAGCCAATATCTTTGAGCAATTGAAGCAAACACATCTCATGATACTAAGCACAGTCTTCATAAACCCAATATGAAACATAGGCTTGGCAAGCTCCAAGTGCCCAAAATGCCCTGGACACTCTGCCATATTTGCCGTACAAGTCTCACACTTCATCTTTCTATCAATTGTACCCAGCCTCGGATCACTTAGTCCTCCTGGCTTTGGCTTTCCTCTCTCTGTAGTCTCGCTGTGCTCAATTTGTATCACAGACATTTGCCTCTGCACACAATACCAAAAAGAGAAGTTTGGATAAGCAAGCGAAATTACATAACCCTACATTCATCCTCACCTCACTGAGAAACCAGTCAGACTTATAATTTCACACAACACACACAAAGCCAAAACCCTAGCATCCATTCATTCCCTTTCTTAGAAGTAGCAAATAGTGAATTAGTGCTGCTAATTTAAACTCATCCACCAATTTTCTCAGCAATCAAAAAGACTATGGTACAAGAAAAACCCCGGCATTGACTCGTTTCCTTCTGAGAAATTCATAACTGTTTAAACAGTACCATCAACAGAAAATCTCCAAAAAAAAAAAATAATAATAATAATAATAGCAAACACACACAAACAATTACAAAATCTTAGGACTCAAATTGCTCCATAAACTAAGATTTGCAATTGTTCAACAAGTACTCATAATTACACACAGTTCCATTAGTTTTCTCCTTCTCAGCAACCAGACATGCTAAAATAAAAAAATAAGTCTACAAAGCAACCAAAAAAAAAACTAGAAATCATTGTTTTTCCTAGAGAAAAATCACAAAATCTAGAACTCACTGTGTTTTCTTCCCTGCTGAAAATCATCAAACCAGTTAACTATTAGTACTGATTGGAAATCTCTAACGATTAGCTCAGCAACAAAACCGACTTTAAATCCACACACAAACGCACAAAACCTAGAATTCATTCATTGAATTCTCCTTACTTGCTGACAGAAATCAAGTGAATTTGCTAAAATACTTCACACGCAAGGAACCACAATCATGAAACCCATTCATTCATGTTCAATTTAACTAGTTACAGTTTGGGCTAATATCTGTAACTAAACATTTCTAGTTTTAAGTTTCTTTTTTACTTTTTTTCCAAGCAACCAAACAGAGTGCAAAGAAAACGAGAAGAGAAAAGTAGAAGTAGAAGTTGGGAAGTAGAAATCGGGAAGAATTACTATCTCGTCGGGGCTGAGAATGCCAAATTGAACCATTCGGACTTTAGCGACCTCCGCTGGTGAGAAAGGAAATCGAGTATCCATGATTGCTATCCAAACAAAACTTAGGGTTTCAAGAAAAAATCAAAGGAAGTTCAAATAATCAAATTCGTCTTTTCAATTTCAGTCTGTTTTCTGTTTGTTTTTAGTAACCTTTTTTCAGAATTTTAAAAACTGTTGAGAAATTTTGCGTAGACAAAGGGGAGAGAGAGAGAGAGAGATGAGCTCCGATTTCTTTTCAGAAAGAGGTGAGAGCTCTCAGAGAAACAAAGGGAGTCCCTTGGGGTTATATTTATAGACAAATCGAGGCTGCCCTAGGGAGGTGGATTGCGTAAACGTGCGCTGGGTGCGCATTGTTTTGCTAGAGGGTGTGATGCTGGGTGGGCCCACTGTTTGATCAGAACGGATATGATGGTTATCCAATGTTAAATTGGGCTCGCGTTTAGGTCCATGGAAAGTTTTGTAGAGACTGGATTGTTGGGTCAATAGAAATTAAGTCAAGCCCAGTTGTTTTTTTCCTTTTTTTCTGGTTGTGTAATTTGTAAATTATGATCGGGGACACCATGAGATTTTTTGGTGCAAAGGACAAGCATATGCATGAAAAGCTTGCCCCAGCCTCAATAACATGTAAACAAAGGCATCGTTTGAGAGTAACTCGATCTGAAATTTAATAAATTTAACGACCTTAATAAGTTTAAGAATAAACATTAGCAATCTATAGATCTTTCCAAAGCCAACATACGATACTGCGAACTTGATTAGCAATTTTAATCATCAATTAATATTTTTAAAATATAAAAACAACATGTGATTTTGGAAAGTTTTAGATTTGCTCAACTTTGATAGAAGAAAAAAACACATAATAAGTGACTTATTGATAAAATTTAAGATCATGTATTCACGAGATCTCTTATTTAACACTTTGTAATACCTTTCATGGCCAATATAAAATCAAAGACATGTTTTTACACTATATTAAATGTGGAGAGAATTACACATTTTAGGTTTGGGGTTGAGATCATACTTACCAAAAATAATTAAAGAGTCAAACTCATTCCTCAATTATCAAAAGGGGAAAGTTGAAAACTTTTTTGGAGCTCTTTGGTATCGATGAAAGGGTTACTTAAAATTTCGATTGAAATTCACTACATCAAGTTATCAAATAACAAGATCGAGTTTAGAACATTGGTTCGATGTATTGATTTATGGTGCAAAGTGTATAGAAGACTCTAAGGGATCAAATCAAAGTCGAGTCCATGATATTTTGAAAATAATCTAGGATGACACTTAAATTTAAGGTCTAAGGAGTATATATATATTGTGATTGAGACCTAATAAAAAAAACTACGTGGTTCAATAATATATCTACTCCATAACCGCACTATGAATTATTATTAGGTTTTTCCATCGGTTACAAATACAAAAAATAATTTTCGGATTTATAGTCTAGACAACTAGAGTTATATCATCATGTAGCGCACTAAACTGCAGACAACATCCACATTAGTCTTCATAACTTAGCATATCGGATGATGTATCATTTATGTTGAGTGTCGAAAAAAGCATAACAAGTCATCCACAATCATTATCAAGTTATTCTTTTTAATTTTATTTATTTATTTATTTATCTTTGTTTAACATCGAATCACTAACTTTTTCATCTTTATTTACCTTTTTTATATATAAGCTCGAGCCTTCCTATCGGTATAACTTTGTCGATTAGTATTTATTGTCACTTCGAACAACTACATTAATCTTAAATGGATTCTAATAGCCAAAAAAATTTCACAACGCTACTCATATACGCTCGCATTTAGGTTGTCTTTATGAAAGGTCGGATTCTTATCATTATACTTCACGAAGATCTATAGGTCAATTTGCGGTCTTTAATGGAGTTTACCTTTATGTAGCTTTTTTTTTAGGCTAGATACTCAAATTATGTTCCCATTCCATGAGTACTAGAAATTCCAAATGGTATATATCTTATTGATAACATTAAAGTGGCCAACTTCTATACACTAGCTTGGATTAGAGTAACATCTCGTTGCAAACTTCTATCAATAATTGGTTATGAATCGAAATTTACCTTTCACCTTTATATCCAACCATTTACAAGTTATAAGGACTCGTATTCACACATGTTATGTTTGTGATAGTAGAGGAGAATATTGTTAGGATAGAAAAAAATAAAGTGTTGATTCCCAAATTCCACGGTAACAAGTGGCAAAAGACAAGTTGACTTGAAAATAGCCATGAATAGCCTTAATGACAAAGAGTTTGATTTATTGGTATAGGCACATCTTGGAACTTTTCCTTATATGTTAGAGTATATATATGTGTAGAATGTGACAATATGGACTCTTAGGCGATGAATTATGCCCCTCATCAAGTTGCTTGCCAGTTTAGATGTTCCTCTAGTCATTACTTATTTATCGGATAATTTTGAGCAAACATGTGCTCAATTTGAGGTAAAGAATCATAGAGGGGCCTATGAAATGACTAAATGGTTTTACTTTCCTCGATCTAAGTGAGCAAGCATCTAGAGTCATCAATGGTATGGTTATTGAAAAAATTTTCTAATCAAATATGAGCTCTTTAATGGAAATTGTCCATATATACATGAGGCTTCTAATATAGAAAGGGGTCTCGTCATGATCCGTCTATCACATCCTCGTAAGATGGTTATGGCGAGGCCAAACTAAATCGCCTATTTAGAAACTACGGATGACATAAGCCTAGGAAAAATGCATATGCAAGCAAAAAGAAAAATGTATTATTTTGAGGTATGTGCATGTTATTATTTTGAATGTTTAGATTTCTTTTTTCATTCACATCATTAATCATAATTTAAATTCTATTGCTTCTTAATGATAAATAGATGTTAGTCAATTAGGTTGCCAATATGTTAGCCAAAAGGATGAGTGTTGAGAAATTTATTAGAAGTAATGATTTGGCAACCAAGCCAACTCGTACCTTCTATATTAAGTAAGTGCACTTACCAACAATCGTTGCCCTTTAGGTATTAGCAATATAAATTTTTGTTTTCTCTTCTTATTTCTCTTTTTTTTTTTAATACTACAATAAATGAATGTCAATTTTACCAACTTCATTCTAAATTTTGATAAGTTCTTCCCTATTTTTTTTTCTTGTAGAAAACTGGTCCTAAGAACATGAAAGAAGCCTTACAACCCCCAACTTAGTTAGATAAAAGTAAGGTCAAAGTCATACCAGCTCAATCAAATGTAAGTAAAGCCAAACCAAATCTAATGGTTAGGCTCGGTGCATTAGTTAGTATACCAATAGTAAAGCAAGCAAACATGTAGCATCCGGTCATAGTCATATTTTAGAAGTAATTTTTTATCTTTGTATGATGATCATTAATATAGTCTTTTTTTTTTACTTTATTATCATTCTTATAGAGAAATAAACTATGACGAGACTTTTCTTATTGCATAAAAAGCCTAGACTAATTACCTTGCTTAAAACAAAACACTTAAAGCAACAATTAACTCTAACATGCGATAAAGATGATGAGTTTAAAGATGATGAAAAAATAGATTTAACTAAAGAGATAGTTAATCACAATGAACAATCAACTAACATTGAGGATGTTGAAGATGGTGAAAGTGAGAACTACGAGGAGGCTATTCATTATAGGGACAATGATGACAATTCGGACACCCAACTATTATGATAGTTGATCGTAGTAATCTTTCTATCTTAACCCATTCTCCTTCTAGAGACGCCACTTCTTTAACTCCTTCCCCTTATAATGATGGAAATTCCAATGTGAGAATTATCATAAAACTTGGTCTCCCTACAATAAATTCTATTTTTATTAAGGTTATTTCAAACATTAATGTTGACGTGGTAACACAATCTATGGTTCTAAACGATTTTTGGCTCCTTCATAACTTTACTCATAAAAGTTTCTCTCAAAACCTTATGAGTTAGAAAGGCTTAGGTTACTTGTTAGGGTTAAAACTTTGTAGGGACCTTTTACTAGACTTATTGAGGTTGTGTGTAAAATTTTAGGGTACTTAGAGTTTCTTTGAGGGGTAAACAATATCAAACACCTTACTTGGAATTTCGAACGGTCTAAAGACATATTTGAGTTTAGAATTTTGATTGACCTAAATAAGGCCTTAAGGAACTTTATTTGATTTAAAAGTTTGATTGCTTCTACTACTCGTATGTTAGGTAAATTGTTATAATTTTTTAGCTAGTTTGGACAAGTATAACCTTGATTTCACCCTTAAAAATCTATTAAAGGCCGCACATTGTATCGACCTCCGAATCTTTGTGTAATTATAAACATCCAACCCTTCCATAGAGACAACCTAAATGTAAGGGTGCAAATGCATATGAGTAGCCTTGTAAAATTCTTATGGCTATTAGAGTCCATCTAAGGTTAATGTAGTTGTCTAGAGTGCCAATAAATATTGATCGACAAAGCAATACCGATAGGAAAGTTACGAGCTCATATTTGAAAAAGGTAAATAAAGATATAAAAGTTTAGTGATTTGTTGTTAAAAAGAAAAAGAAAAAAAAGACTCATTTGTCTATCGATTCATCCTTTTTCTTTGCATCCTTATCCATGAAACTTAGATAGTTGAATATACCCTAGATATAAAGTCTTTCTTTGTTAGTTCCTTTCAATAATTCTTGATATATAGAATCTCCATCATCCACTCTAGTATCAAGCAAATTTATTCTTCTAAATAAGAGAAGCTTTAAAAGGATCGAGACATCCTTTAGAGTATGAGTGATTTCTCCTCAAGCAACCACAAAGGTGTGAGTGTAGGTGTTCTAATGATAAAATATGTCTCTTTATATAAGTTTGTCCGTATTAAAATGGATGTCCACGTGTTTGCTCAAAAGAATAATATATAAAAGCCTAACAACTTTGAGTTGGTCAACATATGTATTGATTTTGAGAATTATGTTTGTCTATTCTTGTCGTCTAGAGAACATTGGCCTTTTTTTATTATTTTTCTCTTCTTTAGAAAGAGTGAAAAAAGATAAAAAAATATGAACTTCTTTAA